ACTGAGAGTGTGTGTGTAAGTGTGTGTGACTGAGAGTGTGTGTGTAAGTGTGTGTGACTGAGAGTGTGTGTGTAAGTGTGTGTGACTGAGAGTGTGTGTGTAAGTGTGTGTGACTGAGAGTGTGTGTGTAAGTGTGTGTGACTGAGAGTGTGTGTGTAAGTGTGTGTGACTGAGAGTGTGTGTGTAAGTGTGTGTGACTGAGAGTGTGTGTGTAAGTGTGTGTGACTGAGAGTGTGTGTGTAAGTGTGTGTGACTGAGAGTGTGTGTGTAAGTGTGTGTGACTGAGAGTGTGTGTGTAAGTGTGTGTGACTGAGAGTGTGTGTGTAAGTGTGTGTGACTGAGAGTGTGTGTGTAAGTGTGTGTGACTGAGAGTGTGTGTGTAAGTGTGTGTGACTGAGAGTGTGTGTGTAAGTGTGTGTGACTGAGAGTGTGTGTGTAAGTGTGTGTGACTGAGAGTGTGTGTGTAAGTGTGTGTGACTGAGAGTGTGTGTGTAAGTGTGTGTGACTGAGAGTGTGTGTGTAAGTGTGTGTGACTGAGAGTGTGTGTGTAAGTGTGTGTGACTGAGAGTGTGTGTGTAAGTGTGTGTGACTGAGAGTGTGTGTGTAAGTGTGTGTGACTGAGAGTGTGTGTGTAAGTGTGTGTGACTGAGAGTGTGTGTGTAAGTGTGTGTGACTGAGAGTGTGTGTGTAAGTGTGTGTGACTGAGAGTGTGTGTGTAAGTGTGTGTGACTGAGAGTGTGTGTGTAAGTGTGTGTGACTGAGAGTGTGTGTGTAAGTGTGTGTGACTGAGAGTGTGTGTGTAAGTGTGTGTGACTGAGAGTGTGTGTGTAAGTGTGTGTGACTGAGAGTGTGTGTGTAAGTGTGTGTGACTGAGAGTGTGTGTGTAAGTGTGTGTGACTGAGAGTGTGTGTGTAAGTGTGTGTGACTGAGAGTGTGTGTGTAAGTGTGTGTGACTGAGAGTGTGTGTGTAAGTGTGTGTGACTGAGAGTGTGTGTGTAAGTGTGTGTGACTGAGAGTGTGTGTGTAAGTGTGTGTGACTGAGAGTGTGTGTGTAAGTGTGTGTGACTGAGAGTGTGTGTGTAAGTGTGTGTGACTGAGAGTGTGTGTGTAAGTGTGTGTGACTGAGAGTGTGTGTGTAAGTGTGTGTGACTGAGAGTGTGTGTGTAAGTGTGTGTGACTGAGAGTGTGTGTGTAAGTGTGTGTGACTGAGAGTGTGTGTGTAAGTGTGTGTGACTGAGAGTGTGTGTGTAAGTGTGTGTGACTGAGAGTGTGTGTGTAAGTGTGTGTGACTGAGAGTGTGTGTGTAAGTGTGTGTGACTGAGAGTGTGTGTGTAAGTGTGTGTGACTGAGAGTGTGTGTGTAAGTGTGTGTGACTGAGAGTGTGTGTGTAAGTGTGTGTGACTGAGAGTGTGTGTGTAAGTGTGTGTGACTGAGAGTGTGTGTGTAAGTGTGTGTGACTGAGAGTGTGTGTGTAAGTGTGTGTGACTGAGAGTGTGTGTGTAAGTGTGTGTGACTGAGAGTGTGTGTGTAAGTGTGTGTGACTGAGAGTGTGTGTGTAAGTGTGTGTGACTGAGAGTGTGTGTGTAAGTGTGTGTGACTGAGAGTGTGTGTGTAAGTGTGTGTGACTGAGAGTGTGTGTGTAAGTGTGTGTGACTGAGAGTGTGTGTGTAAGTGTGTGTGACTGAGAGTGTGTGTGTAAGTGTGTGTGACTGAGAGTGTGTGTGTAAGTGTGTGTGACTGAGAGTGTGTGTGTAAGTGTGTGTGACTGAGAGTGTGTGTGTAAGTGTGTGTGACTGAGAGTGTGTGTGTAAGTGTGTGTGACTGAGAGTGTGTGTGTAAGTGTGTGTGACTGAGAGTGTGTGTGTAAGTGTGTGTGACTGAGAGTGTGTGTGTAAGTGTGTGTGACTGAGAGTGTGTGTGTAAGTGTGTGTGACTGAGAGTGTGTGTGTAAGTGTGTGTGACTGAGAGTGTGTGTGTAAGTGTGTGTGACTGAGAGTGTGTGTGTAAGTGTGTGTGACTGAGAGTGTGTGTGTAAGTGTGTGTGACAGTGTGTGTGTGTGTGTGTGTGTGTGTGTGTGTGTGTTGGTCAGTGAATGAGACGCAGTGTGTGTGTGGGTGTGTGAGAGTGTATGAGTGTGTGTGATAGTCATGAATGAGATGCAGTGTGTGTGTGTGAGAGAGTGTATGAGTGTGTGTGTTAGTCAGTGAATGAGACGCAGTGTGTGTGTGTGTGTGTGTGTGTGTGTGTGTGTGTGTGCGTGAGAGTGAGAGTGTGAGTGTGCGTGAGAGTGAGAGTGTGAGTGTGCGTGAGAGTGAGAGTGTGAGTGTGCGTGAGAGTGAGAGTGTGAGTGTGCGTGAGAGTGAGAGTGTGAGTGTGCGTGAGAGTGAGAGTGTGAGTGTGCGTGAGAGTGAGAGTGTGAGTGTGCGTGAGAGTGAGAGTGTGAGTGTGCGTGAGAGTGAGAGTGTGAGTGTGCGTGAGAGTGAGAGTGTGAGTGTGCGTGAGAGTGAGAGTGTGAGTGTGCGTGAGAGTGAGAGTGTGAGTGTGCGTGAGAGTGAGAGTGTGAGTGTGCGTGAGAGTGAGAGTGTGAGTGTGCGTGAGAGTGAGAGTGTGAGTGTGCGTGAGAGTGAGAGTGTGAGTGTGCGTGAGAGTGAGAGTGTGAGTGTGCGTGAGAGTGAGAGTGTGAGTGTGCGTGAGAGTGAGAGTGTGAGTGTGCGTGAGAGTGAGAGTGTGAGTGTGCGTGAGAGTGAGAGTGTGAGTGTGCGTGAGAGTGAGAGTGTGAGTGTGCGTGAGAGTGAGAGTGTGAGTGTGCGTGAGAGTGAGAGTGTGAGTGTGCGTGAGAGTGAGAGTGTGAGTGTGCGTGAGAGTGAGAGTGTGAGTGTGCGTGAGAGTGAGAGTGTGAGTGTGCGTGAGAGTGAGAGTGTGAGTGTGCGTGAGAGTGAGAGTGTGAGTGTGCGTGAGAGTGAGAGTGTGAGTGTGCGTGAGAGTGAGAGTGTGAGTGTGCGTGAGAGTGAGAGTGTGAGTGTGCGTGAGAGTGAGAGTGTGAGTGTGCGTGAGAGTGAGAGTGTGAGTGTGCGTGAGAGTGAGAGTGTGAGTGTGCGTGAGAGTGAGAGTGTGAGTGTGCGTGAGAGTGAGAGTGTGAGTGTGCGTGAGAGTGAGAGTGTGAGTGTGCGTGAGAGTGAGAGTGTGAGTGTGCGTGAGAGTGAGAGTGTGAGTGTGCGTGAGAGTGAGAGTGTGAGTGTGCGTGAGAGTGAGAGTGTGAGTGTGCGTGAGAGTGAGAGTGTGAGTGTGCGTGAGAGTGAGAGTGTGAGTGTGCGTGAGAGTGAGAGTGTGAGTGTGCGTGAGAGTGAGAGTGTGAGTGTGCGTGAGAGTGAGAGTGTGAGTGTGCGTGAGAGTGAGAGTGTGAGTGTGCGTGAGAGTGAGAGTGTGAGTGTGCGTGAGAGTGAGAGTGTGAGTGTGCGTGAGAGTGAGAGTGTGAGTGTGCGTGAGAGTGAGAGTGTGAGTGTGCGTGAGAGTGAGAGTGTGAGTGTGCGTGAGAGTGAGAGTGTGAGTGTGCGTGAGAGTGAGAGTGTGAGTGTGCGTGAGAGTGAGAGTGTGAGTGTGCGTGAGAGTGAGAGTGTGAGTGTGCGTGAGAGTGAGAGTGTGAGTGTGCGTGAGAGTGAGAGTGTGAGTGTGCGTGAGAGTGAGAGTGTGAGTGTGCGTGAGAGTGAGAGTGTGAGTGTGCGTGAGAGTGAGAGTGTGAGTGTGCGTGAGAGTGAGAGTGTGAGTGTGCGTGAGAGTGAGAGTGTGAGTGTGCGTGAGAGTGAGAGTGTGAGTGTGCGTGAGAGTGAGAGTGTGAGTGTGCGTGAGAGTGAGAGTGTGAGTGTGCGTGAGAGTGAGAGTGTGAGTGTGCGTGAGAGTGAGAGTGTGAGTGTGCGTGAGAGTGAGAGTGTGAGTGTGCGTGAGAGTGAGAGTGTGAGTGTGCGTGAGAGTGAGAGTGTGAGTGTGCGTGAGAGTGAGAGTGTGAGTGTGCGTGAGAGTGAGAGTGTGAGTGTGCGTGAGAGTGAGAGTGTGAGTGTTTGAGTGTGTTTGTTTGAGTGTGTGTGTGTGAGAGTGTGAGTGTTTGAGTGTGTTTGTTTGAGTGAGTGTGTGTGTTGGTCAGTGAATGAGACGCAGTGTGTGTGTGGGTGTGTGAGAGTATGAGTGTGTGTGATAGTCATGAATGAGACGCAGTGTGTGTGTGTGAGAGAGTGTATGAGTGTGTGTGTTAGTCAGTGAATGAGACGCAGTGTGTGTGTGTGTGTGTGTGTGCGCGTGTGTGTGTG